TGGTGTGACATACCTGATGAAACTGACCAAACAGGCCATGCCACAGGACACAACTAGGCCTCGCAGGAGTGCTAAGCTCGTCTTGCAGGGTCCACGCAACAGAAATAGGAGTATGGCTACAGTAGTGTTTAACAGGAGTCCTAGGGCTGAACTCATGATGAGTAGGATATCAAACGCGTTAGGCCATTGATGTGAGTCACTGCAAGTCCAGAACGTATAAGACTCGCTCATGTCTCCGTCGGATAATGCACACTTTTCACTTGAATGCAGTATATATAGTCGTTGTTGTTCTCTTTCAGATGAACTAACCAATAGGCGTTTCCCTCAGAAAGCGCAACACGTAAACATGAGTTTTTTTCTCCATCGGTCATCAGGACATGATTGATAAGTAAAGCATCCGCTAGACAACAAAAGACTTTGTTTTATTTAAAAGAGGATGTTTTCCGCTGGCTTAAAAATAAGCTGGCGAAGTCAGTTCTACTTTCAAATTACACAGTATCCTTGATAAAATGCGGACTGTGGTTTGGACCAGACATCAGTGACTAGTTGTTTTTAGCAAACCTGTAATCAATGGTCAAACAGAGGAAAGATTACGTTTAAGATTAGATGTCCGTATAAGAGATGCCGTAATTACTGTTAGTTGTAATAGTTTAAAATGTAAAATCATTCTCTGAATGAGAATATCTTGTGAAAAGGACGGCAATATGTGTTTTATCAAACTTGAGATAATGTAAATACAAGTAATTTGTTTGACCCTAGTGCGAAGGAAATGGCGTAGAAGCAACAACACCGCAGGCTATATCTATCATTGAGTCTGAGAAAACTAGGCCACAATTTCAGCCCCATGCGGACCTTCAACGAAGGGGAAAACTATAGGCAGATCCTTGCTCTCGGATTCGGGAGATTCCTTTGCGGAGAATTATCTGTATTAAGATGTTTCTAACAGTAGGCGGAAATAAAAAAATCGTTATCCGTAATTTATCAGCAGTCCATTTTTGTCGTCAAGATCTCAAAATCTACCTGCTTGCTTGCACAGACGTTTCACAAAAAGAAGTTATCCATCTTCGCTCGGCCCAGCATTTGAAGAAACATGCAACAATCTGACCTTTGTAAGGGGGTTTGTTTTCCTTAATTTGGTTGACCCAGCTGACGCACTAACCATCAAGTAGTAGTCATTCTGGTAATTTTTAGATGATTGATTAGGAAGTCCTGCTTAGGCAGTCAGCTTGCTGTTCCGTTATGATGGATTCCATACAAACAGTAAGTTTGGTGGATCCAAGTGGGATTAAATTCACGGCGCACGGTGAGCCTCGTACCTCAGTAATAGAGAGTTGGCTGGGTAAAAGCCTCCCCTGCTGTGTAGGTTTCAATCCCACCGAGGCCGTGAGTTTTTTTCCCATTTGGGTCAACTAAATCTGACTTTTGTTTTTTTGTAATTTAATTAGACTGGGGGAAATTGTGGAGATGAAGTTTTGCATTCGACATGAAGCAGTCTGGTAGTCGACGTCCATTTCAGACGTCGTTCATTTGATGTTAAATCGGGAGAGTGTCGATAGCTATCAACTCTTAAGCGTAGCCCATCCGGAGATCATGAGATGACATCATCATCCTTAAGAAGATCTCGAATGTCATAAAAGATGCCCTTAGCTAAAATGGGATCCATTAAGGTCGGATGTACATCAAAAGGTTGCAGACCAATACCCATAATGATCACATACAGCATTATCAAAATGGCAAGCTCGCATGATAACAGTTAATAAACATGTGGAATTAATCTATTTTACTTTTTTCTACCAGGCGAAACATCCATCCGGAGGTAACTGCATATGTATTTATCAGATTAAGTGTTGCATAGACACCCTGTTATGATTAATGTTACGTCAAACATGCGTGACATTCCTCTTCAGAATACATGCTGCCTCTCGATTAATTTTATTTACTTGTTAGTTCAAAGTAGCAACTTACAATCATGTCATTGCCCGCATTTTGAACAAAACTGTTCATTCATGACTTATAAATGTAAAAAGGTGCAGTCTTGACAGCATATGTGTCTTGAAGATTTAATTACGGTTATCGTAAACTACCGAGTAGGCCCGTACTGTCTAAGGCTTTTAACCAATGTGGCATACAATAGCCAATTTTCACCTTTATATTAAGATCTCGTTTTCGAAACAGCTAAAAAATGCTTCCGCGGGTCGGTGTTATGACCGCTTTATTTACAAGCCTTCTTCGTAAAATAAAAGTGCCAATAATATATCATACAAAGTAGCTGATCTACTTAATGAACCGGAAACCGACATTTTCAAAAACATATTAAATAAGAAAATAAAACTGATACTTGTTATACGAATTATCTTTAAACATAATCCCCAGCTATTTCAGCCATCGCAGAATGCTGGCTTCTCAAATAATTTTTATTCGATCACTTGCAGTAACTTTACGCGGAAGCTAATAACCGTAAGATAGTTTTGAATTGTTTAGCTTTATTTTAAATAACCATATAAGCACATACAATGTTCTAGAAAACGTGAATACATACTCTTCCATCGCGTTTACCATCTCTAAGGGAAGAAGAAGAAAAAAAAGTGGTTTCGTGGACCAAATGGTATTTGAACTGACGTTTCGGAACCGTTTTCGCCTCCATCGGCGGAGGATAGTATTTCCAAACGCCTGGGCACAAAATTCCACGAAAATAAACTTGAAATCAACCGTAAGGACAAGATGGCGTTGGTATATGGTCACGCGCAACAGGTGAACCACGACTTTGCTTGAGAAAGCGAGGGTGATCGGCAAGACCAATGAGGAGATGAGCAGGCTAGTGCTCCACAATGGGTCCTCAACTGACACAATCAACAGAGATATTGATTTGAACCTTACCTACCCGCCCCTTGACAGAAGGCTCGGAGCAATTCGGACAGGACCAGTAGGAAAAAAGAACCCACAGAGGAGAGAACCTACGCTCACGGAAAATAGGGGTTGCGGTCGAAGGTCATGTTTCCAACAACAAAGACTGTATCATCGATGCACCCCCGAAGTGGAGAACAACTCAAGGGCACAGGCACGACTGCTCGGTCCGCCGGTTGATGTGGGGAGGCCAGCAAGTACACCACCCCGCCTACAGCTACGCTGAAGCAAAAAAGATACAGTTCACACAAGCTCGTCAGCAGCTAACCTCCGGCAATGAACGCATAGGCCAAAATTCGCGCGTCCAAAATGAGTATAATACGACTGGTTAACTCAAGACCACCAGATGCAGTAACTACAATACTCTGACGATGAAAGCGAAAAGTGTTCCGAAACGGCTGTTCAAACGTAATTTGGTCCACGAATCTACCCCCTTTTCTACTTCTTCTTTTGGAGATGATCAACTCGATAACATATCTGAACCCCAAATCTTTACGAATACTCCTGTATATTCATTTGTTATCAAAGTTCGTCAAAATTAAATGCTACATTTAAAACGAAGTCACATTGCTTCAAAAATACCCTTCATATACCGAATAATGTAGACCTACTGAACATTCGCAGTTGTGTTTTGCGTTTGCAAAATGTGCGCTGTATCATACCCCGTCTAAGTTTAAGCAAAACTTTTCGCACGCTAGAAAAAAAATATTTTATTGGTCTCCTAAAAGTTTGCGATCAATTT